GGCGGTGAGGGCAGGGGGGCAGTGGGCGGGGCTGGGTGCAGGGGGCGGGACCAGGGAAAGGGAGGGGGGCCATGAGGGCAGGGCGGCAGTGGGCAGGGCTGGGTGCAGGGGGTGGAGCCAGGGAAAGGGGGTGGGGCCATGAGAGCAGGGCTGCAGTGGGCGGAGCCAGGGAAAGGGGGGCAGAGAGGGCAAGGCTGGATGCAAGGGGCGGGGACAGGGGCCGATTGCTGCGCCCTGTTGCAGGACTGCAGCGGCCGTGCGTGCGTGACCGTGCTGTGCCAGGTGGAGGCGCTGGCGAGGGACCAGCGGGCCATGGTGACCATCCATGCGGTCCTGTGGATGCAGAACGTCAGGAAGGTGGGGCCGGGCCGCGCTGCCTGGGGGTTGCAGCCCAGTGCCTAGTCGCTGACCCCAGGGGTTTTGTGGCCCCTGCTGCGGATCTGACCCGGCCAAGGGGAGGGTCTGTTGGAGACATGGCGGCTTTCCCAGCCCCAGGCTCCATGCACGGAGCCCTGGGGCGCTGGCCGGGGCCCTGCCTCTCAGGGCTGCCAGACTCCCTGCTCTGCTCTGGAGCTGCAGGGAGGCCAGACAGCTCCTGGCTCTGCAGCAGGGTTCCTGGAGGCAGCCCCAGTTCCCGGGGCCAGCGCTGGTTGCATGACTAAGGCTTGGGAGCAGAGCCAGGAAATGGGGTTGGCATTTCCCAAATGTTCCCAGCTGGGGAAACTGAGTCATGAGCCGCGCCCAGCTGGGTTATCAGGAGCCCTGGCACCTGTCATTCGCTGCTGGGGGCGGTTTGGGTGACTGTGCGCACAGGGAGGTTGCCACTGAGCCAGGGAGAGAAGCCAGAATCCCGGCTCCCGCAGGGTCGGAGGACTGGTCAGGGCGGTGGAGCCCAGCCGTCGTCCCGCCCCCTCCTAGCCCCGGCCTGCCAGTGCGTTCAGCCAGTCCCTGCCACGACCGCTTTCCCCGGCTCTCCCCGCACAGCGGCCCCTGGACCAGTTCATCATCCAGTCGCAAGCCTGGTTCAACGTCTCCGCCCTGCCCTACCGCATCCAGCCCGACGCGCTGCCCAGCGGCCACGCCACGGTACGGCCCGAGGGGGCGCCGGAGGGGCGGGGCCCTGGCCAGTGGGAGGGGCCATCAGTGGCTCTGCTAGCCTGGCTGGTGCGGGCCCTATGCCAGGACCTGGCTCCTGGCAGTCAGACCAAAGGCCAGCCCTGAGCACCCACCCCCAGAGCTGCCCTGGGCAGTCGGGTCGCAGGCAGGGTGCCCTTGCAGTGCCACGGACTGGCCCCAGGGCACAAAGGCTGCAGCTCCCTAGCGCCTTGGGCCAGTGGGTGGCACCGGGGACGCCTGGTCCCACTTGGAGCAGGGTTCTGGCTCTGCAGCAGGGCTCCTGGAGGCAGCCCCGGCTCTGGCCCTGCCTCTCTGCCCCCGAGCAGGCATTGACCTGGCCGTCCCTCCCCAGGCCCACACGGAGGTGATGAGGGTGAGCCCGGATGCCAAGGCGGAGATCCCCACCCGGTGGATTGTGCTGGCCGTGCTGGCCGGGCTCCTGCTCCTGGCCCTTTTCATCTGCGCCATGTGGAAGGTGAGGCTCCCCGGCTCAGACCAGCCAGCCAGGCAGAGGTGGGCACAGCAGGGGCAGGCCTGAGGCTGGGGCGGGGC